TCCCTACACTTCTCTGCACCCTACCTGCATGAAAAGCATTCTCCCTCGAAGATCTGCATATGGGATGCATCTTAATATATAAATAAATACTAACATGTCCACATTATACTATGAAGAAAAATGCACTAAACATAATATTTTAGCATCTAAACTCAATAGGTATTTATTTACAGAAATATGTTTTGACATCTGTATAAATGGGTAATGTTTCATACACACAGGAAAAAAAACACTAAGAGGATATATACCCTAAAACTAACAGTGATTACCTCTACAGGGTGTAATCCTGTCAAAAGTCTATTTTTCAGGCTAACCCCATTTCCTCTATGAAACCTTTCCAAAGCCACCTAATCAGGATAGTTCTTTTCCCTCCTATCGTACCACTTTGCTTGTATCTCTATGATATCAAGCAGCCTGCTCCGAATCTATTACTTAAATATAAGATTGTCTCCTCACCTACACGGTGAACCCCTGGGCCTATCATCCTCTCATCTGTTTCTTCCCACAGTACCTAGCATAGGACAATGCCTGTTTGAAGTATGACACTCACTGAATAGCTGCTGAGTTTATAAATCAATCAAATATAAGAAGGTACCCTACATCCAACTGAAAAGATCATTTAATTAATTTTCTGCAAACCTTTTGACTGAAGAATTGTTGGAGAATGTTGTAAGAAGTCTCCAAATTTCTGTAGCGTTCCTTCTTTTTTCTTAGTGGGCAAGTTTACACTAATTGTGGATGCCTGACTCCGTAAAGAATATGTTTTCTTCGATGATGGCTGTGTTGACACCTAAATAAACAAACATTTTTGTTATTACTGATGAGGACTATTAGAAGGAGGTAGCTATGGTCACAGGTGAATGAAAGAGACCAGGAACAGGCTATGACTTAGTAGGGAACATGGGGTTAAATGTCCTAAGTAGGAGAAGAGGGATAAAAGGGACAGAGAATAGTAAAATGAGCTCAACAGCAGAATGGTAAGTCAGAAGTGAACATGTGAAAAAGTGCCTGCTAATGACCAAATGTTAATTAAAGGTTATCTTCCAGGCTGAATTAGATGTGTACAGTACGTTGAAGATAAATGAATCATAAAGTTAGATTTCTGCATAACTACTGAAGAATTTAACACCTTTATTTTCATCTTCCACTTTACAAATTTAGGTTTTATAAAAGTAGTTATTTTAGACAAATTAAAAGACAAACCTTTTGTTGTTTTTTGGCAGAATTTCTATCCTCTGAAACAGGAAACTTCAAATTAGTTTTAGGTGTAGCATTTTTCTTATTTTCACTTTTCACCAAGTCCTAGAAATAATGAATTTCGACACAGGTAATTTACTAAAAATATTTTATTTCTCCCAACTCAAAAATAAATCTATAAAAAGCTATATTATCTGTATACTTAATTATGGGCAATTTTGAGCCCAGGGGAGATTGGCAATGTCTGGAGATATTTTTGGTTGCCTTTGCCAAAAAGAACGGGATACAAAGGGTATCCATGGGGTCGGTCGGCTCCATGGTCTATGATTAAAGGAGCTAGATCTCACACAGCCAGCCATGTGGCTTAAATCCCAGCCCCAGCAGTTTGCAAAACTCCAGGTGCATATGCCCCAGATCCCAACGGGATGAAGAAATGGAGGAGCAAGGACTGCACTGTTGTTGTAGGGACTGTGGGGTGCTTTCTCCCTCTCCCTCAGTCTCTCTGTGACAAGAGCACACACCCCCTGGTAAAAGAAACATCAAAAACACATAAAAACAACAAAGAAGTATCTGATCCAAAATGTCAACTGTGCTGAAGGTGAGAAACACTAATGGAAAGCATGAACTTTTCACACACATCTTAAATAATAAAATTACATGAGCTAAATGAAAAATCTATATATAGTTGCTGGGAAAGTCATGACACATTGTTGCATAGAAAAATACATCATGACTTTCCCAATGACCTAACAGAAGGGAAGACATCTTTCATTTGAACCCTATCTTTAAAATATGGCATAGCAAGACACCTACACTGTCCCCAACTCCCAAATCAAACCACCATCTGTGTCTAAGACCTCTCATTAAGACTTGTAATACTGGAGGATCAGCAGATGGCCTAGTGGTTATGTTGCTAGACTCCCATGTCAACCACGGTTCAAGTCTTGGACCCAGAGGGTTAAAACTCACACCGAACACATTTTCGGGCATGCATGCCCAAAATTCCAAGAGAAGATTAGAGGAGAAGGGACTGCTATGTGGCCATCCCCCCCGGGGGATGATTTCTCACTTTCTATCTCTCTGGTTAACGCATGCACTATAGCAAAAATCTCTCTCAGAAAAAAAAAGATTTTGTGATATCAAAAAGTAAAACAAAGCTTCAGTATAAGCATATGTAAAGCGTTTAAATTAAGAAATACCATCTTTCTTCTCTGCTAGACAGACATGGCATCTTACTCTTCTCTTCCACACATACTCTCACAGCACAAAGCCTTTTGTAGATATACTCAATGAACTGAATGTATACAAATCCCAGTTGCACCAAATATTTTAAACATAAAAGGAGAAATAAAAAGGCAGGAGGAGAAGAAGAGAAAAGATCATGACGTAACCTCAGAATTCAAGTTACAAAGTAGAAGTCGTAGGGAATAAGAGCAGACTCCAGGAGAGAGGAAAGACACGTGATGATCACGAGATGTCAATGAAGCAAGACTGTAAGGTAAGGCCGTCTCCCTCCAAGTTTTCCTAGATTAAAATATAGCACTGGCTAAGTGACATTCATGAGGACTTAGATAAAGCACTCTGTCCTTAATGGCAGGGTACACATACCGAGACTCCCCAGTCGATACCAAAACCGTGGATAGTACTGAATCATACATGTACTATGCTTTTTTCCTATACCTGCATACCTATAATAAAGTCTATTTATAAATTAGGCATAGTAAAAGGTAGAACTATAACAATATACTATAATACAAGTTATGTAAATGTAGTTTCTCGCTTTCTCAAAATCTATTACACTGTTCCTTCTTGTGATGAAATGAGATGATAAAATGCTTGCACAATGAGAGGAGGTGCAGTGAATGACACGGGCATTGTGAGGTAACGTTTAAAACTTACAAGTTGTTCTTTTTGGCTGAGTAACACCATAGCAGTTGAAAAGAACAAGTACCTTACAAAAGGCAGCAAAAAGGGAGCCAAGAAGAAAGCGGTTGATCCATTTTATGAAAGAACTGATATGCTGTTAAAGCACTTGTTCTGGTTAAAATTAAGAAATACCGGAAAATACTAGTCACCAGGACTCAAGGAATGAAAATTGCATCTGGTGGCCAGAAGGGCCATATATTTGAAATGAACCTTACAGACCCAAAGAATGATGAAGTTGCATGTAGAAAATTCAAGCTAACTACTGAGGATGTTCAAGGAAAAAACTGCCTTTCTAACTTTCATGGCATGGATCTCACCCATGATAAAATGTGTTCTATGGTCAAAAAATGGCAGACCATGACTGAAGCTCAGGTTGATGTCAAGACTACAGATTGTTTTTTGCTTTGTCTCTTCTGTGTTGTTTTACTAAAAAAAAAAAAAAAAAAAAAAAGTACAATAATCAGATATGGAAGTCCCTCTTATGCTCAGCATCAGCAGGTATACCAAATACAGAAGATGAAGGAAATCATGACCCAGGAGGTTAAGACAAATGACTTGAAGGAAGTGGTCACTAAACTGATTACAGACAGCGCTGGAAGAAAAACATAGGTAAAGATCTATCTATCCTCTCCATGACGTCTTCATCAGAAAAGTAAAAAATGACAAGGAAGCCAAAGCTTGAATTGGGAAAACATGGAGCCTCACAGTGAAGCTCTAGAAAAGCTTCTGGGGATGAATCGGGTGCTAAAGTTGAATAAACTGACTGATATGAACTACCACTTCGAGAATCTGTTTAAAGTTCAGACTTTTAATAGTGGCAAGTAAAGAGTCCATTTTTGTAGGGGGAAAATTATAAATTGTTTATTTTTGGAATTTTTCAGATATTTTCAGATTGCAGATAAACAAGGGTAACTAAAATAGAAAGCAAAAGAATCTTGGGTAATGGGGGACTACTACATTCAATTTATAGTGAAGATAAAGCAAAATCAGTTAAAAACTTAAGTTTCTATATATATATAATATA